GTTATTTCTACGATTACTTTGAGAAATATCGAAAATTAATTCTAAATCAATATATAGAAATCTAATAAAAGTTAATTTTAATTATTTTATTTGTATAATAGATAATAAAACGGAACATAGTCAAATTATTTACTAGATTTATCTGTTGAGATTAACATATTTTTCACTTTTCATATTGTTTATCATTATTTTCTGTTAATATAAAAAGTCAATTCATTTTTCATAGTCATTTCATAAAATAATTCGTTGAATTATTATATAATTATTTGATAAAATAAGTTAAAGATTTGTTTTAGATGAAAATAATAATTAAATATTTAAAAAATGAATAAAATCTTTCATTTTAATATTGAATTTGTTAATATAAATATAAAATAAAATAAAATAAAATATATTTAAGAGAAAAATAGTTTATTTAACAAAAGAAGAAAAGAAGAAAATAAGAAAAGAAAATTTATTTTTTAAGTGCATGTTCCGCATGCCAAAGAGCTCTTTTATAATAAAATTCCATAGCTTTAAGTCCTTGAAATTTGTCTCTTTGATGAATATATTGCCAATAAATAAAAGTAAAATCTTCAATAGCACATAAAATAATTTCATCAACAATTAATTGAAAAACTTCTTGTTCAGTTTGTGATGAAACTCTTGCTGTTCCTCCTGACATTTGTTTCATATATTCTTCAATAAATATTCTCATTCTATCAACATCAGTTATTATTGATGGAGATGATGATGTACAAAATGTTGATAAACAAACAGCAAGATCACGCCATAATGTATCATGATTAACATTTTCAAAATCTAATAATGATATAACATGATTTTCACGTGACCAAACAACTTTACTTGGACGAAGATTTCGATGAATTGGATAACTACGTATTATATTTGTTTTTTGTTGACGAGATAATGAATCACGTAATAATCGACATAATAATGGATAACATCCAATAAAATATTGACTTACTAGATCTATTCCACTTGTTGTTTCTGTTGTTGTTATTGTTGTTATTAATTTTGTTTTTTATAATAAAAATTAAGGAATTCTATTTTAATTTTTTTTTTTTTATAAACAAAAAAA